CCCCAAAACCCCAAAACCCCAAAACCCCAGAAGATAACCCAAGAATTGAAAAGATATCATTAAATTTATATATTATGCTATTTATTTTCAGACCTTTAATGGGTAAAATCAGAAAAATACAGCACGGCTGACGAAAAGGCAAGGGAGTGCCAATTTTAGGCCCAGCAGTGGTAGAGTACAGGTAAGTACAACACCTCAGGGCAAAAATGCCGCATCAAATTTGCATATTTATATCCCCAGAGTCTGAGATTATGAATTTTCATGTTCAGAAAGCAACCAACAGCAGTAGTGGTTTAAAAATTTAGACACAAAATGTCTTCCATTAATTCGATGGTTTAATCGTTAATTTTCTAGGGAAAATTGCTTATGGATTACTGCCAGAAGGAAAGATCTGGACGATCGTTTAATGAGTACTACAAGTTTTTGAGAGAACAACACTCAATCAGTAAATTGTCGTTCGCCGAGCGAGGAGCTCTAATAAAGAAGGAAGAAGCCATGAAAAAGAAAATTAGTAAGAAGTTAGAGGTTGATAAGAAAGCAGAGCCTCATAGCAAATCTTTAACCAGAAAATTTCCTGATAGTAAGAAACCTGAAGTAAAGAAGCATGAAAAGAGGAGGAAGTCTGAGACGAGAAGAAAGACAGACCCACCAAAATCTGATCAAGAAAATCCTCAGAGGAATCCTGATCTTGAAATTTCTATTGATAAGAAATTACTTACTCAGACTGATGATATTTTGCATGAGATTAATGTAGAGAAGAGTTCGAAAAGAAAGTCTGAGGGAAAACTTCTCTCTGAGATAGCACAAAATGCTCAAACTGGTCCTAAAAAGAATCAGGAACCAATTAACCCAAAGAATCAAAAGCAGAATAAGATACTTCCAGTTAAAGAAGATGTTAGCACAGAACAACCAACTATCAAAGAAAAAGTTGCTCCTGTAGATCAGGACTCAACCAAGCACACTGTTGAAAATGAGTTAAAAGAGGAGGACTCTAAGAAAATTAGCCCAGTCTCCACAAAGGTCGTGAGTTCCCTTCCTGAAAATATGCCTGATGAGTTAGTGAAGAACGATTTGTCAATCCCTCAAATCTGTTTAAATATGACAAACAAAGGTCTTGAACTGATAGTGCCAAAGTGAAACATCTGAATGGACTTATTCGAGTCAGATATCTCCATACCAAAAGTCAAGCCTTTAAGTAAAAGAGCTAGGATGCAAAGAATCAGAGAGTTTGCCATCGGACAGAATTTGAGGTATATTCTGATGGAAAAAGAGCGTGCAAAGATCAGCTACAAATGTAACTCTCTCAAAGCAGAGAATAAACGCCCTACTGTGAACATAATTCCTCCCACTGAAATGGCTAAAATCGGTAGGAGGACATTGCGAAGCCACAAGGTGTCACCAGATCAGTTCAATAAGTATGGGAATACTCGGAAGAGGATAGATGCTTTACATTATGAAAAGAAGCCAGAGCATATTTATCCCTTTGTTGATACCAAAGTTGCTGTGTCAGTGGACCAAAAGTCCCCAGTTGAAGTTATAAAGGAAAGTCTGATGAAAGATATCAAGAAGAAAAAGTGCAAATGAAAAGACTGGGTCATGCATCTGCAACATCAAGAACTTGAAGCAGGTGAAAGTGAAGAACTCATTGGCGAAAAGAAACGAACGAACAAGCTTATTAGCAAGATGAAATCTGAGTAATTCAGTATCTAATTTTCCATTTTTCAATATATGATGATTCTACTGGGGTTTTGGGGTTTTGGGGTTTTGGGGTTTTGGGG